CTGGGCAGCCGCGGGGAAGTCACAACACAAGCCAGATGCACAGAACGCGCGCGGCTGCTCCGGTCCGTGTAAACGCCCGAGCTGGGATTCCAATCCAGTTCCGCTCCCCAGCCCGCAATCCATCTACTCCCGCGACCTTAGGGACACGCGCTGGGTTTGGGCAGGCGGCTCCCAGAAAGGGGGAGAAAACTGGGAGCGGCTCTTCAAGCCTCTTTAAAACCCCGGAGGGGATCCCTCTGTAGCCCCCCCCCTCCCCAAAAATCTCCGTCGCACGCGCACTCCTCGGCGCGTTCACACGGGGTAATTCGCACGGACCTAGCTCACCTTTATATTTTTCCATCGGGTCGGTAGGCAGCGCCAGGCAGGAGCTGGGGCTCTCCGCCTGCCAGGTGCCTCGGGATCCCCCCAGGAAAACACACCCGATCGCTTTCCCACCAATCCAGCTCCGGATTTCTCGGTCCTCAGACACTTTCGCCTCGTACTCGGGCTCCGCTCCGCTTCTCTCGCGCCCCGCCCGGAAAGCTCCTCCCCGTGAGGTCACACACAGCAGCTGGATCCACCGGGGCGAAAATAGTGCGCCGCAAAGTCGCAGCAATTTGCTCCTAGTTGCGGTTTCTGCCATGCACGCATGAAATTCTGGGCTACTGCTCAGGACTTGCGACCTGGTCCAGGGGTTGCTAATTCTGAGGGACCGGGGTCCAAAACACTCCCGGTTTGCTCCCTCCTTGCTAATGGCCACAGCGGATGTTTGTGTTTTGCCTTTTGTGTCTAACATTAGGAGGGATGAGGTCTTGTGGTCCAGGGGTTGCAATTTATGAGGGATGGGGTTCCCTGGTCAAAAACACTCAAAATTCGCTCCCTCTTCTGGTACCTGGTCCAGGGGTTGCAAATGAGGAGGGATGGGTTTCTGTGGTCAAAAACACTCACCATTCACTCCTTGTGCGGCATCTTCCCCCACCCCCTGCAGTTTGAGGCCGGGCTCCCCCATGCACTAACCTGCCGGTGGCGATGGAGGAGGGTTGGGCTTGGAGCAGAGAGGATGCTCCAGCTGCCCGTGGCAGGCGGAGTAGGAGCAGGTGAGCTGAGGGATAACAGGGGGAGCAGAATGGGATTAAATTGGTGCCTCCCTAGCATGGTGCCCAGGGGCAACTGACTCCTCCGGTGGCCCACTCACTACGTCACAGCACCCCCTCCTGCAGAGCTATCATCTTATGCATGTGCTAGATCTGTGAGAGCTGTCCCATGCATCTGCAGTTAGTGTCTGTGGTGCCTGCTTCTGGGTGGTGTCTCAATGCTGCTACATTCACCTCCAAAGAGGGGGCCTCCCAAAGCAGGCCCTTGCTGCTGACCCCCAAGGCATCCACAGGTCCAGTCTCCTTTCAATGGGCCCACTTCCCAGGGCTCATTGGTCTTGGATCTGGCTTCCATCCCCTCTCCAACCCTTGCAACTTCCCAGAGGTGCTCACCTTCTGCCTTATCCATTCCCACCTCATTCACCCCACAGGGACAGTCTCTGCCTCACTTGTCCTAGGGACTATTCTACCAAGACGTAATACAAAGTTTCCATGTAAAAGGAAAGCTAAAAACTTCAATAAGAGAATGATTAAGGGTATGTCTAGACTACATGCCTCTGTCACCAGAGGCATGTAGATTAGGCTACCCGACACAGTAAAATGAAGCGGCGATTTAAATAATCGCCGCTTCATTTAAATTTACATG